TTTGTTTCTATCCAGAGAACCATTTCTTTCTAAGCACAGAGGAAACTTATCACCCATGAAAAGGTGGCTTCTTTCTTTGAAGTTTTTTTTTTAGTTTGGGTTAAACAGGTATTTGTAAGGAATGATACAGGTATATTTGATTATTTCTCTATGTCTGTTTCTAACACTGTGATTCTAGATATATTTGAAGTTAGAGCTATGGATACATTTTAATATTAAATTTTTAATTTCTTAAGAATCCTTATTTTGATGTCTTAAATAACCTTTACATTTGAGAAGTCATATCAGCCAGAGCTGCCCCTGACACACTGAATTTGGTTCATGCTTGAGGAAAGAGAAGCTGCTGGAATTCAGCAGTCTGTTTCATACTGAATTCTTGTGGCTTGTGCAGAGAGATGAGAACACATGTGGACAGAAACAAACAAACAAACCCCAGCTGTACTACAGTCAGTATTTCTTTTCAGACAGTAAGGCTTCCTGTATTAAGTGCTTGGTATTGTTAATTGATGTCTTATCCTTCTGATCTTTGTGGATTATGCTTTTCCCCCCCATATCAAGTAGAAACCATCTGCAAGCTGTTGTATTTGCATATGTTGGAATCTCATAAGTTCGTGTGATTCCCCGTTTGTTATCCCTTGAGCACTAGCTCTGATTTTTTGATTGACCTGCTGGTCCTGCTTTCTGCATGACTGAAACAGTGTGATGCAAGACTGGCTGAGGCAAATACAGAGGCTTGTGGATGTGTACTTGAAATTCCACTGGGAGATGGCCATGACTTTGCAGGGCAATTCCTTTTTAAGCACTACGCAACTATTTTTGCAGCAGCCCTGGTAGTTGCCCTATCACAACCACAGAAGGTTGAGATGGAAGGAGAGACAGTGTTATCCACCTGTCCACCTCATCGTGGTGGTGTGTCTGGATCCATGAAACAAGCACCACATAACTTTGGAGGGTTTTTCAGCAAATGTTTAGCTCTGCAGAACTACTTCAAACTGTGTGAAGGGTAGTGGTTGTTGAATATCAGGTCATCAAGGTCGTTTGGGAGATGTGTGCTGGGTTGGCTCTGTGCTGCAGCCAAATGCCCACCTAGCTGCTCATTCATTCTCCCTTTCAACAGGGCAAGGTAAGAAGGTAGGATGAAAAAGCTTGTAGGCTGAGATAAAGACCAGATAGTTTACCAATTACCAGAGTGAGAAAAACAGATTCAGTTTAGGGAACATTAGCTTATTGCCAATTAGAGTGGATTTGGATATTACAGGATATTTATACAGGTTTTTCCTGTCTAAATAGAGGAAATGGAATAACACAGTGAGTGTGGATGGGATAGAGGGTTATGATCACTTCATAACAGCTCCTCTCTGCTGTTCCTCTTCCTCCTCACTTTTCTCCATTCTCCCACATGGGCTCTCTACAGGCTGCCTTTTCCTTCAGAGTATCTCCACGTGCTTCAGCATGGGATCCTCTGTGGGCTGCAGGTGAATACCTGCCCATCAGGTGCCTGGAGCTCCTTCTCTGACCCTGGTGGTTGCAGGGCTTTTTCTCACACTTTTTGCCTCGCTGCCAGGTACTGTTTTGCCCTTTCTTAGATGTTTTTCAGAGAGGCACCACCATCCTTCCCCAAGGGCTTAGTGGTGCCCGACTGAGGGGCCGTTTTGTCTCTGGAACCGGCTCCGGCTGCCCCTCACAGTGGCTGCCCCTCAGACACGTGGTACATGTGTCTGACAACTCACCCCAGAGTCACACTGAGATGCCACTACCACCCCAAGACCTGCCTCAGCCCGGCTGTGATGGCTGGATGCCTGGTGGGGTCAGCGTCCTGTGCTTCATGCAGGTTCTGTCTTGTAAACATTGGCAGCTCTTTGGGGTTTAACAAGCTATTCCCCATTGTTCTGTGACAGTCAGTGAAGCTCCAGCTTCTGAGCACTAAAAGTCCTCCTTGATAAAAGGTCTATTTCTTTATTACAAAAGTCTTGTGATTCTGGAATCTTCTATATGTTTGGGGTTTTCCCCCAGCTGTGTTGGGTGTGAGTGTTGATCATGGCCTCTGTTATTCTGGGAGACGCTGATCACCTGGTCCATCACTAGTCTTAACCACTTGCTGCTGATTTCAATCGTAGCAAGAAATTGTGTGAGTATCTAAGCAGCTGCAGAATAATGATTCCCTAGGAGCTTGGGAAAGGATGGGTCTGGCCTGTGATAAGAATTAAGGGACACAGGTCTGGAGAGGTGAGGGTTCTGTAAGCAGATGTTAAGACAGCTTTGTCAAAACTAGTGGTTGAGGACACTTGCTGTGAGCACAGGAGCTGATTTTAGTGACTTCTGGAGTTGTGGCTATGGTAGGTATTATTTATTGCTTTATGAAGTTATTTAATGAAAACTGGAATGTTTCATGAAAGTGTTTTAGAATAATATTTCTTCAGTATCCTTATGAAACAATATTTGGTTTTATTATATATAAAAATTATATTTTCATGTTTGGTAAGTGAGCTATTTTTTACAACTTTTTATTTATGAAAAACTTGTGAGGTTATTAGAAGTTTGACTTTAACTTTTTATACTGCATTTAGATTGTAATAAATATTACTAAAGTTGCAAAGATAATGGGGATGTAATCTGGTGAGCTCTTAATGGAAATTTTTCACAAAATTAAGAATTATTTAAGTAAAATCAGCTTATTAGTTTAGTGTTGTCTAAATAGAATTTTAATAAATATGAATTTGAATATTTTTCTTCAGTGTTTCCACAGAATATTAGAAATAGTTAATGAAGTGTCAAGGATAATGTTATGGAATGATTTATAAATATTATTTATTGAATTTCCGTGTTTTGTTTTGTGTTTGATAATTTCAGCCCATTTTGGGAAGCCTGATTTTTGTGGAACTTGAATTAAACATTGTCATACTTTCAAAAATACAGATATGGATTTCTATGTATACGCACCTGTACAAATACACTGAAATGATTAGTATTTGTTCTTTAGTTTTACTGAATGGAATTATTACAACTTTTGGAATGCTTTGGGGCAAAAGCGCAAATGTTTGAGTCAACAAAAGCAGTTAAAATGGTGGAAGTTGGAAATAAATAGTATGGGGGTTCACATTTAGTTACACAGTTCAGGAATATGCCAGTGCTGGGCAAAAAAAAAAAGAAAAGATGCAAAAAAAGTTGTCAGTGTGTAAGTGGCTTTCAGCTTGGCCTTCTGCAGCAAATCTAGGGCAGCTGTGGCAGAAGGCACCAGCACATGGCTTGGGGTGCTGAGGGGCTCTGAGCCGTGCCAGGGGCTCAGGCTTGTGGAAGGCAGGAACTTGCTGGGGCCGGCTGCTGTCCGTGCTGAGGGGCTGCACAGTGCTGCTCTTGGAGAGGCACAGTCCCTCCGCCTGGAGCACGGCCTCAAGCCAAGTGGTCTGTTTGTTTATGAGCTCCTTCTTGCCTTATTTTCCACCGAGTCCTGGCTCCCAGCAAGGCTCTCTGCAGTGAGCTGTTGAGCAGTCAGGCTGTTTGCTGTGTGCCTGTGCTGGGGTCCTGCTGCGTTGCTTTGCTGCCTTTTTGGCAGGTCCAAACTCCCTTGCTGAGCTGTCTGGACCTCGGACGCTGGGGCCATCTTCAGTCTCACTTTTCCCCCCTCTTCCTCTCAGCTTCTCCTGTAGATCCCTGCACAGTTTTTAAAGCTCTGAAAAGCAAAATATTGCATCATTCAACACAGTGTCCACAAGAGAACTGAAAGTAGCAGATGGTTGCTATTCTTCCCAGTTTTTATCACAGATTAAGAAAAAAATCTTGTATTTGAACCACCATCCTGATGGCCTTTTTCCAGTGTTGAGACTAAAGATTTTGTTTTTTAATATCTCTTCTCTTACAGCTTGTATTTGAAACAAAATTTAGCCCTTGTGTCTTTATCCACTATGCATCCATATGCTTGTGTGTGGCTGTTCAGGAGAGCCTGGCATTGAGATGGGTAGTAGGGCTGGGGAGGCTTAGTAAGCGTGAGAATAAGAGTAGGAAGGGCTCAGTTTGCATTAATGGCATTAATGTTTGCACTACAGAAGTAGTGTAGGTACCTATTGGAAGAATTTATTAATTTCTTTTGTGTATCCAGGAAGTTGGAAGGTTATTTGTTTAGAAGTAAAAAAAAGCAAAAAAAAAATATATAGAGAATGAAATAACTTGCCAGACTAGTTCCCCTGAGGTACAGAAAAAATGTAGTGGTCTAATCTAGAGCAAATAGCAGGGCAGTTCTGCTTTGCGATGTTACCACCATTATAAAACACTGCTGCTTAAAATTCTGATTTGTGTGTTGGGCAAATATGGTAGAATACAGTCCTACAAGAAATACTTTAAACAGGAGGGGGTAAGTATTCTCAGCCTCTTGATTCTACCACACTGATACCTCTCTACTTTTGTGAATTCTCGTGTGAATGCAAATCACTGTTGTATCATTCTCCCAAAAGTATCTCTCCTGCTTGTTAATATGTTGTGTAACATGAAATATCTTGTTAAAATGCTATGAAATACAGTTATTAAAATGCTGGGACAAAATGCTGTGGCCTGTGCTTCATAGTGTGGTAGGGTGCAGTGCTATGAAATACTCCTCTCCACCCCCAGTGTGCAGTGGAACCCATCTCAAAATGCACAAAACAATGTTTCCTGGATTTTAGACTTCCTCTGGCTCTTGTGTTCATCTGAAAACTGGAGTAGTAGTTGAGGTCTTCCTCCTCACCCCCATCAGTTTGTGAGTCTCTGTGTCCTCATTGATCTATGTATCGTGGCTTAGCTGTGAGAGGATTTTCTATCTGTGCCCTGTAATATTGACAAGTAGCTTCATTATTGCCAGAAGTCTGTCTTGTTTTCATTTGTTCTTGGCTGTTTTGCAAGTGTCCTTCAGTTCTTTGATCTGTAGGGCCTCCTTTCTGTGACCCCTTTCAGCCACTCCATTAGCAGTAGCTTGGTATGAGCCCCTGTGGTGTTATTTTTCTGAAAGACTACTTTTTTCAATCCCACAGGATAAGGAAGACTGTTTCAGCTTCAGCTTGACTCCTATTGAATGTGAGAGTGCTGCTGTGTTGTGATGATGACCGTGGTTATAAACAATTGCAAATGGATTTCTCCTGCCTCCATCACCATGGAGCAGCAGCCAGCCTGGAGGTACATACACACTGAGTTAGATGTAATAGGATGTGTGGTATTATGTGGTGCTGGTAGATGTGGGTCTAAACCATCATAGCTGTAAGTTTATCAGCTGAGAATTTAGTAGACTCTAAGAGGAGTTTGAGAGGCAATATTGTGGCAGATAATCTGCCTGAAGAATTGTGTTCACACATAATTCAGTGGAATTGCATTGAGATTTATGCTGACTCTCTTCCTCCCTTTGACCTCAGTAAGCTCTTTGAATCATGGCTAAGACAGCTGTGATGTGGAAAGTGACCCTTGTTTTTATGTATTTCTACAACTGGGCACAGCATGCAGATTGTCTACTACACAATTTGGAGAAGAGCTGTATTCTGTCTTCTTGATGTGGCTTCAACATATGCTGTTGTCGTTGGAGTAGTCTCAAGAGAGATTGTGTTGCTGTTTGCATGTGTTGATGTTTGCATATGTTTTAAAGGAGGAAAGGCATGCAGGTTTCTTCTCTCTTTCTCAGAGAGGATATTATGCTTGTTTAGATTGTTCACACAAGGAGAAGGAAGCATTTTGTATGGAGACGTTGCTGGTGAAATGTTTTTAAAAAATCTATCATGTATGGAACCTTTATGTAGAGGCTGATTTCTGTGAAAAGTTGTGAAGAAACAAGGCCCTTGTATAGGGAGTTCACTTTTTCTAAGCTTAAAAAAAAGATTAAAAAAATTAGCAGTGGCTCGAATAAGTTCAGGGAAGAACCAATAACAATACCTTATCCATTTGTTTATTCCAGAGTCAGTGGGTAGCTGCTCTCAGCTGTAGGTTGGCTGTTTTTGAGGCCTAAGCCAGAGGTTTTGTGCTGCTTTGACAGCATGACTATTGACTTCTTGTTTGTTTTCAGCGATAGATTTTTTTTTTTGGTCACTAAAATGATTTTGTGGGGAAAACAAAACACCAAAACCCAAAACACAAGCAGCTTTCCTGTTTCCAGCACCCATTACATGCTGTCCATGGTGCTGATTCAGCATTCTTTTCTGATGTCTCCCATAACCTGCAAGCACGTTTGCTGTGTGGGTTGTTTGTGTGACCCTCAAGGATGAGCTTTTCTTGCGCTATGAATTCATACCTTTTAATTAAAAGGATAAAAATATCTGAATAAAATAGTATTCTATTCTGTATAATTTTAAATCATTGAACATTTGGGAACTCTTACTGAAATTTTTAGGGTGTTTTCAAAAATACTGAATAGGCCAAAAAGAAATGAGAAGCAAATGGGAAGCTGAAGAGTGTGGCTGTATTCTTAGTGATGTCAAGAGGTCTCTTAATGGTTTGTCCACTAACAACCTTTCTGTGAGTGAAAGTGTTTGTGATAGATTCAGTGCAATAGCAATGGCTGCCTGTTGAGAACAGCGCTGAAATACCACATCTCATTTTGCGGTGAACCTTTTCATTATCAGCGTTGTTATTTATTAGAGAATAGAGCTGGTCAAATTATTCCATGAATTCTAGTTAAGAAAGCATTTTAGTTAATGTACCATTTGCCAATCGGTCTCAGCTTCTGTAAATCCTCTTGTAACACAGTGGTCACTACTGAATAGGTTTTTTTAACAGGTCATTTTAGGCAGCTGTTTGCAGGAACTCAAAATGCCTGATTCAGTTGTGCCTTCATTATGATTGCTCAGCTAAGTAATACAGGATTGGACTTCTAAATGGAGTTACGGGTTTTCGGTGCCTTGGTATTTGAAGGTTCTACTTTTCACAGTGGTGTGGTTGTGTGTTGTCCTGTCTTCTCCCACCCCAAAACCCCCATGTCACCTAGGTTGGTCTGACAGGTGAATGTCTGTAATTTTGATGGAAATTTTGATTTATTGTTTGGCAAGCCCCCAGAAATTAATTTTGCCATGTCATCATTTAAAACTGTGGCTGGATATATATGGCATCATTTCCTCTACATTCATGGAACATGAAGGTGCTTTTAGGAATACCATTTCTGTTTCTCATCTTATGTCATATCTCAAACTTCATTCACATTGTCTAGAAATACTTGTGTATGCTTGAAAGCGCTGTAAAAATCCAGAGTGTGTTCCTGTTTTCACAACTGGCTTGATCCAGCCTGTGTCTGTCATGCTTTACTGTAGCAAATGAAAATTAAGAATCTTTGGAGAGATCTGGATATTACTTTTCTGCTACTTTTTGTCGAAAGCTACGTTTTATAACTCCTGAGAAGGGCAATTTTGGGTTGGGGGTGCAAGGTGGTGTTTAGAGCTGGTTATTTCTGTAGTAGTTTGATATGCTCATAGGCTAAATTGTTTGCACATCATGTGAGCCTGTGAAATGTAAATTAAAAAATCCTGGTCCAGACTATCTCTGATACTCATTTATCTAAGATTTTCTTAGAACCTCCCACACGAAGGGATTCTATCACCTCTGTAAATCCAGTTTTCTGTGTGACTGTTTCTGTAAGGCAAAATGTTTTTCTTAAAATGGAATTAAAATTTTTTCTTTCCAATAAATGAAGTTACTTGTCACCTGTCTGCTGTTAGCTAATCAGTAGGCTTTGACAATCCCAGTTCCCTTCCTTCAGCTGTAGAAGTGTGCGTGTATATGCGCTTGCAGTTGTCCTGGGGAGGGCTGCAAGACCACTTAGCAGTGACCATGTCCTTGGCTCAGGATGTGTGCATTTGTGGGGGTAATTGTCATTGCTGTGGGGTCATCTGATAAACCAGGACCTTGAGAGAACAAAAGAAGGTCTAAAGGTGTGAAGGCCAAGGTTTTAAAAGGTTTAGATGGGATATTTGCAGTGGGGTTAGTTGGCTTGCAGTGGAAGTTGCAGAAAAGCTGACTGGCTTAATGCTTTACTCTGTCAGGGCCTTAGCAGGTGGCCACTTCCTACAGCAGTTGGATGTGTGAAGTAATTTGAGGATGCCTGACTCTTATAGCATGTTGGCTTTTAAAAGCAAACCATTACATGTAGGGACAGGAGCACCACGAAAGAAATACTCTATTATGGTTTGAATACAGCCATCACTTGTTTGAGTACTTTATATTTAGGTCTTAATGAGAAAATGACTGCACGTTAAATCACGTAAATTCAGTAAGTGGGAAAAATGTAATTTGAGGATTTTCTTGGAAATGGATGTCTATTGCAGAGATGCTGCCTAAAGTTAAACATGCTTTAGCAGGCAGTCATTCTTTAACTGTGCTATTTTAACTAACTGGGTTATTTTACTCAGTTCCTCCTTAGCAGTATTTTCCTTTTTTCTGTTTTTGATAGTATTGCCCAATTCTTTAAGAGGCATGCTCATATAGATGTGCAGATAAACTGTCTCTTCACATCTAACTTCTTGAGTAAGTAGTATTAATTACACTTCTGTAGCTAAGACAGTTTCCAGGATGTGACAGATGTGTTATACTGCTCTCACGGTGCTTTGCTAACACAGAGCAGAAAAACATCCTAACCTTGCCATTTCAGCAGTACTGATGCTTGTGGAGCTGTAGAAAACAAGGGCTCCTAAACTTACCAAGGCATTTCAAAGATCATTTATTGCCCTTTTATATATTCTTTTGCCTTCCTTATTTAAAGTATATACTTAAACCCATACTGGATTTGTATTCCCTTGTGCTATTTCATATTAAAATGCATCTGTATAGGTTTAAAACAATATTTTTTTGCAAGCAATAGTCTCTTATATTTCAAGATACTTGAATTTGACTGTATAGTTTACATTAAAGTTAACTGGATGCAATTAAAGAATTAGGTCATACCAACCTCGCCCAGCACTGGCTGAAGATGATGGTACTTACACAGTGATAGAGTAAATGATGGGTTTTGTAAGCTCACTTTATAATGATGAACAAAAAATCTTATTTTTACAGTAAACCGGTACCTTTTTTTCTGAAAATATTGTCCTTATTTGCTATCAAGTTAAACTGGAGTTGAAGGGAAGCCATTAGGTTTGTGTTCCTAATTTCCAATCTAGTTTCTCTTAATAAAAAGGAAATCAACAGCACATGTGATGAAAATCTTTGTAGAAATTATTTACTATGAGCACATATGTAATTGATTGGGAATTGAAGAAAAAATCTGAGTCACAATAGCTCTGGCTGTGGTCTTAGAGCAGAAAGAGAAAAGGAGGGAGAAATGAAGCTCCTGTGGAGATAATTGAGGTTGAAACATTTCTTGGGCTCTTGAGAAGAGTTGCAGAAAGCGAATTGTATGAAAAGAACAAAGTGGGAAATGTCATGTCAGCCCTCCTAATTTTCTTCTTGGCTGCATGCCCAGTCTCTACACTTGTATTAAGTTTTGCCATAGCAACAATATCAATGAGGTGTTTTCCAGTCCAGAGTGTACTTCTTCCTGCAGGTTTAGGGAGTAGAGATTTGGAAACTGTTTGTCTGTAATCTTACACTTCACTAAACATGAGCCTTTGGAATAAGTGGGTGACCAGAAAGGTTAAAAAAAAAAATTAATCTGCTTTCAAAAAAGGAAATGGACCCAACTCTGCAATAAAATTGCTTTACATTTTTTCCTATGCAAAAAAGTATGGAGATGCCATGCTTGGAAGGGCATGGAAACAAGACTAAGCTGTGAGTTCTGATATTCCTACTGAAGAGAACCACAGCAAAGCATTGTTGAGAGCAACAGGATCACAAGAGTGACAGACATACAGTAAGAATACAGCTGGTACCAAAGAATTTAAAGCGACTTAGATACATGAATTTTCTATGGACAGGGCATTGTATAAACTTAAACCTGGATTATTGCTTTGAATCACTCTAGAAAACCTGGAAAGTCAAACTTTGAAGAGGCAAGGATACCTGCAAATGAATTACACTGGAGCTGTGATCCTGCAGAATTACTTTTTTTTTTTTTTTTTTTTTTTTTTGCTGGCACATCAATTTATTGAGGAAAAAGCATCAGAAAGGAATGATTTTTGGCATCAGATGTCCTGGAATTTTGCAGACACAAATACAAGATTCCTTAAAGTTT